ATTCCAAACCAAATGAATCAACAGTCGTTCAAAATCTCATTTGAACTATACAAATTTCAACAAGTCTTATAGTCCTCGCACCTCACCAATTATACTTAATAGGAATGTTCGAGGTGAACGCCCTCCCCAGCATGCGATCTGACAGTGAAGCATCAAAGTTCAGGCAGTGAACCACTAAAAAGTCGGAGGTGCGATAAAAGCATGGTCATCATTCCAAATTTTGTACGCTCTGTTAGATATCGAGACAGGACTCTTTGTACTGCAGATGCGGCAGGTAATCCTGCTGTTGGTCAAATGCATAGGATGTTAATCTTGCACATAAAACCGTTTTCTTCTTAGCATATTTTCTCAAGACTGACGACGACCTGGAGTTTCAGTGTCGAAAATTTACTGAATAAATTTTCCTAAAGGACACTTTTCCTTGAAACTCACTATTCTATTTGTCCTCAACCTACAACAGACGCAACAAAAAGGTGCTCATGCAACTGGCGATATCACAAAACAAGATACCGCAACCCTATGACACGCTCAAGTCAGTCGCCGAAATGGCCCCGCTGCTACCGCCCCTGAAGGCCGGAAAGCCCTGGCACCAGCGCCGCTACAGACAGACGCCCGCGAGAGTGAGCAGCTACTGGACCAAAGAGGAGGAGAGCAAAATGATGGGGAAGATGTTCGAGAAGCCCGTGTGTGACGTGGACACGGGCAGATAGACTGGTCTAATGCATTCTATAATCTGTACGCGAATGCTCAGTGGATGCATAACCCCGCCCTGACGTCTTGTAAGCTTACTAAACAACTTAAACGGTCGTTGGCAGTTAATCTAATGAAAATTCAAATTTGTAAATGGAGTTAGACTGCATGATTAAAAATTCCGACGGAGACAAATGAAGATAAATTGTTAGTCCGTCTAAATGCTTGCTTGCTTCTTGTGGTAGCTTAACAGTCAGCAACAATCCACGGCCATATGAACCATCGCGCACGATTCTAATCGACAAATCTTACCCACACCTTTATAACTGACAGGTTAGATGTGATAGAAAAAAAGCCGAGTCACAATCTTGAAAACGAAATTGGTACTGCTTTAGAATAAAAAGATCAATGTACAGATTGGGAAAGGAGTCGCAGACTACGTAAGACCAAGCTAACAACAAAGCACTGACGAGTAATACGGAGAACCTTTACTTCTTTTTGATGACTTTCTCGCAACTGGCATCGAACTGTGGATCAGACAGGTTCATGAGCAGAGTGTTCGCATTGAGGAAGACGCGATTAGATGACTGCGAAAGCTACAAAACCACATAAAAGACAGTAGAGACATAAGTATTAACGGGCAAAAATAACACGGAATGAAATGTAAGGACATACAAACAGAAAACGTGTACAGCTACTTACCGTCCTTGCAATCTGTGCGGCGGCCTTTATCTTTCTTAGCTTTAAGTAACCGGGGTTTGCCTGTAAAGCATCACCAATCAATTTGGCTGCTTGTGCTTCACCATCAGCCATGACAATTTTCTGTTGACGCTCCTGTTTTGCACGTTCGACCAAGAACTGAGCTCTTTGTGCCTCTTGTTGAGCAATCTGTATAGGATAAAATTTACTGACAATTAAATGAGCGCAAAGTGCGAAAATTATAAATAGAAAAGAGGTGAAGGCAAAACGCAATGATAGCTACGGAACTGAAGCTATACCTGTTTTGATTCGACAGCGGAAGCATACACTTGAGAGAAGGTCAAATCGGTTATGGAGACGTCATCAACGACAATGTAGAAGTCACGGGCACGATCGACCAGTTGTTTGCGGATTAGAAGAGAGACCTGTTGACGCTGAGTGATAAGTTGACTGGCATTGAATTTGGCAACCACAGCCTTAAGCACCTCGTTTACAATTGAGGGAAGAACACGGTCGTCATAATCTGTTCCAAGGGTTCGATAGATCTCTGGGAGCTTGGACACCTCAGGACGAGATAGCACTCGAAGTGTTAGGTTAATGGTCTGCAGATCTAAAAGGGAAGGAATCTGGTTGCACAAAATGCTTAGACAGAAAACAATTAAAAACGATGAAGCGAAGGCAAAACATGACGACCACATGGTCCGCCTATGCTTTACTACCCGCTTATAGTCAGGCAGCGATCTACGTAAAAGATAATGTGCAAGACTGAAGTGGAACCTGGAATATAATGCAAACAGAATTGACAAAAAACGGCTGTCAGTGCGAGTTCACACGCGCGAGTCTTCTCGACCTCATTCATTCTATACGAGGTATCGGGGTTAAGGCAATGTCTGGCAACCAAAGCAGCAAGAGTGCATTTTGAGGTCCCAGTGCAAACGCTAATTTAGTTGCTGAAACGAAAAAAATGCGCACAGGCGATGACCAAAGCATTCTCGGCAGGATAAAGCGAATACACGCAATGAACA